ACGTCTCCACTCCTCAGTAAAAATTAGTGCATAGTCAGCAGTTTTAGCTTGCAGCAGAGCGCGTTTACTTCCGGAAAACACCAGAATTTGTGGTGTTCCGGTTTGGCTTGTCCCAGGGCTTATGGCAACGCAGGCAGCCGAGAAGCCCTGGGAACGAGGATGAGCCGAAACCTAGAGTCGCTGCGGGCTGTGCCCCAGCGACTAATTAATACATAATTTGCAAATTTTGTAGGGCTATATTTTCCTCATTTTACAACATTTCGCAACCAAACTTTGCATTTTTACTACTTTTGACATGCTCTTTCTAGCTGTGGTGATGGACTTCGTTCTTCTTGCCTAGATCAAAATTTACTGCACGGCTTCAGTTCAGTACAGCTCGTACCCTGGATTCCAGAGCCTTCGACAGTAAATAATAAATTGAAGTGTCGCGAAGGCTCTGGTTCAACGGGGCGATTCTTTGATTAAGCCGCGCCAATCACAAACCAGAATTAGTGGTTTTAGTACAGATTCTGTACTAAAACCACTAATTCTGTTTTGTGATTGGCGCGGCTTAATCAAAGAATCGCCCCGTTGAACCAGAGCCTTCGCGACATTTCAATTTATTATTTACTGTCGAAGGCTCTGGAATCCAGGGTATACAGCTCGTGAGTTCCTTTTCAAATTACGACGTAACTAGTCATGCCGCCGTAAACACGAACAAAAACCCTTTACAAATGCCTACGCATGTGTCGTGTCGAGACACTTGCTTTTATCTCATCATTCATTCCGCCATAACTTGACACGAAAGCAACTCCGTGTAACGAACGATATTTCGCTCAGTTTAACAGCACATCACGAAACCGAAACCAGTTAAGGTGGGAAACCTGCGAACAATACCATCGAATCGCAAACTCGCTTATAAAGCCAGGAATTGCTGTTCAATCTAGCGGGAACCGTCACCACCGAGCTGGGAAGTTTAAAATTAACTCGTGTGTTCTTTGAAGCATTTTATAAATACTTTTGAAGCACTGTCAGGAAGTTCTTCACCTGTATATAAGATACTGTGTTTGACGGAGTATGATGGAGTTTTGAATGATATTGGTGGCTGAAGCCGGCGAAGTTATTGTTGAACTTGGTAAGTGGCAACAAGTGGCAATCGGTTATGCAATTTTTGCTTGTTTATAGATGTTTATCTTTGCATAGTTATAGAAATTGCCAGTCGAATTATATATACCGACAACGTGGCAATATAGTTGAGCATCACTTCAAGTGTATATCACGCGGACACCGCTGTAATTCAAAATCACAACATGCATGGCCAGTATTCGTATATGAACTTATTTAATGAAACTATAATATTTCTTCGTAATTTGTATTTTTGTTGACATTCAAATCCGGCAATTTTTCATTCCCATGAATGGACATCTGCTATGGTTTCTTTAAGAAAGCCTTTCAAAGCAGCCAAAATGATGGTCATCATCAACATGCATCACTGATCTACAGCATTGTTGTCTGTTTGAGGCTTTGAGCATTATGTTTGGTCACAGAATAGGAAGTTATACCAGAAGCGTAACTCTAGTCGTTTCCCTTATTGTTTGACGTCCACGAAAATTTTAACTCGCTCACGTCAGGCCACGCCATCCTGGCTAGTACAGCCGGAAGTTTTTATCAGGATTTGGTAGGTACAAAGTGCCGGTTGTACTAGCCAGGATGGCGTGATTGATGACGAATCGCTTGTAAAAACGCGGACAAATATTCGCTCGAGTTACGCTTCTGGTATAACTTCCTATTCTGTGGTTTGGTAATGTTCGCTGAGTGATGTTAGAAGATGTTGGTTCATGTTTGACCTGATTAGTCAAGATTTTCACTCGACATCGTCCAACGTTCAGTTCATTTAGGACATTAAAAGTATTAAAATATTCGTGTCCATCACATCTCAATTATACTTGCACCGTATACCAACCTAAATGAAGTGAATGAAATGTTTACTTAACCAATCATGATTTTAAAATTTATTTTTGTGTGCTGTAAACTAAATATATTCCTGGTTTATTTATAATCGCTGAATTAATGTTTGAATCAATTAGCCTTTCTCACGATGACGAATATATCCGCCATTTTTGGGTGGCATCTAA